ATTTTTTATATTGACTGAGTTAATCGTTGTAGGAGTGCCTTGTATTTTGTCATGAACAATGGACTACTAAAAGCGAGATATCGATAGGAAATGTAATACCATGATACTTTTCTAGACATGAAGCTTACCATAAATCTCAACTTCACATAAGTCTAAAAATCTGGCATTTCTACTTGTATGAAAATTACTGATATTTACATAACGACCAGTTATAACCTGACTACACTCTATATTATTTACTGCTGGTGTAGTGTAACGTATAATATCATCTTTATAACATAGTTCTGGTTCTTCATTCTCTCTGTTTACATGTATCGAAAATCCATTCAATGATGATAAGGCTGAAAGTATGTTTGTAAAAAGGAAACATAGATACATACAAGTGGCTTTGTGAGTTTGCGATTTTTGACATTAGGTAAATGATTGTGGTTTTAAATTTTGTTGATTTAAACTGACGAATCGGTTTTAAGCTATTTTAAAGCACAGGCATGCAACTTTAGAACTACTAGACAAAAGTGGTAAGACGAAGTTTCTTAAAATAACAAAGAAAATAAAGGATTATGCCCCATAATGCTGTTTGTTTATGTATAAATAATATTCGACATAATTGATAAACGAACAAGAACAAACAAGTAATAATAATATAGACAAAAAGAGAAGTGGTTTATAAAATTGACACATTACTAAAACTGACTGATCAGAATAAAAAGATGTTTTCAAGTCTCTAAAGGAAGAAAGAACGAGGCCCGAGGTCATTACATAGTATCTATTTTCATATCATCAATGTAATTAGCTAATTCTGATATTGATATAATTTGAAGTATGTCCTCTATTAGTAAATCATTCTTACAGTAAGATAATATTTCTACTTACACCAGCTAGCTGAAACACAAAATAAAGTTAGAATTAAAATGTTTGTTATTATTATTGTTAAATGATTTGATGAAAAAAGGAAAGAAAGGACAGAGTTTGTCAACAAACAGATTTACAGTAACTAATTTCAAAATTAAAAATAGGGATTAGTACTGTACATTACATACACAGAGTAAATGTTACTGGGCTGTCTTGTATTATTATGTTATTTTTAGCTCAGTATCGAGAAAAAGGTCGAAGAGGAATGTTTATGAAACCAGAAAATGAATGCAGGACTGATCAACACAAATAGTTATTTGTTTAAATCTACAGAATCATATATTGGTATT